CTCTATAGCACCAGTTAGAAAAAAAAATAATTTAAAAGGAAATCATAAGAATCATAAAATATTGTTTTTGAAGACATACTTTTAGAAAACTTCAATTTAAAATTAAATTGTTATATGCTTTTTTTGCTAAATAAATGGATCGTTTTAAAGGAAATCTCAATTATAGCAAAGCATCAATGGTTTTAACATATTTTGCAGTGCAGCCTGGGCTCATTCTGACTAAGCTGATTTTGAGCTGATATTATGACAATGATTTGAAAGGTTAAACCAGGTATAAATAAAACTTGATACTTGTAAGCCCATTCAACCAGTTTTTGTCTTTAAAATAGCAAAAATATACAGAACTGGGYAATTCTAGTTTTAAAAAGTTGCTTTAAAAAGTTATTTAGTAGACTGCTTGAAATGTCTGAGAAAATATGTTTTATTATCTGGATTTATCAGTGCTTAAAACCAATATATATACACACTTTATTGTTTTCTGAGATTTGACTATCTCAGTGGGAGTGGTGTTTGTTCACCAGTAGCCTATGATAAGCTTATGGGCTTGCCTGTAAAACTGTAAAAACGTGTTTTACAGGTGTGGGCATGCAAAAAAAAAAAAAAAAAAAAAAAAAAAAAAAAAAAAAACATGCCAACAGTGTTCATATGTGCAATAAACAGGAAATACCATTCTGATAATAAAACACAACAAAGAATCTGAAAATTTGCTTTGACATTTAACAACACTGATGTTTATTCTTTTTCTGCAGTTAAAATTAGTCACTTTATTGGACACATCTAGAGCTAGTAGAGCACGATCTTATGATGAACTGTAAGTGTCACAGCGCCACCTGGTGGACAAATTCGCGCAGTTCGTGTGGAATAGTGTAAAAATACATTTTACTGTTTACAATTAAGTGCACAATTTCCAATAAAACAACTTACAAAGACTGAAAACTTAATTCATTTCAATATAAAAATAGAATAGTATTGGTTATCACACTAGCATTCCAATTAAAACAATGGAATGTACTATTACTATTTCCTATAAAGTTGCTCAAACCTCAACAGGATGCATTGTATTTTATAAAAGGTTAATACCTTTTATAAAATACAATGCATCCTGTTATTGCATTATGAAAAATGTCGTAGACGGCACAGTAACAACACTGGGTGGTGCTACAAACCCCGATGCGCCTTTAATGCCATAACATTGGACGTAGTCGTCATCACTGAATGCCACGAGTAAACTGACCGCAGCACGACACTGACAGAGTAAAAGCGTACTCTTCCGCAAGGTTAAAGCGAAAATATGCCATCCCAACAAAATAATCTCACCGTGTCATGAAACACAGAAGACAATGGCGTGATAGAAGACACATCCAACTGCAAAGCTGAACGCTGCGTTAAATGCAATCACCTAAAGTACCTCCTAATAAAATTTAACGAGAACCTACTAGCTAACGTKAACAACAAGCCTAATGTTAGCCCTTTGATGAATCAATGCGAGAATGATATGCTTGCAAGACAGGGGTAAGTAAATGACAAAAATAATTAAACACACAACCGCCTAGCCAGGATTCTTATAATAATGAAGACATAACTGAACTATTACCCATGGTGTCCAGTGACTGGCATATCAGAGTAGGAGTCTCGGTCAGAGGCAGATTGTGATGAGCTTCTCTGGTCCAGGCTAGCGTTAACGTAGCCTGAGCTTCTTGTCTGCTGTATGGCAGGATGTTTTAACATATATTCAAACCTCACCATCCCAGCTAAAATAGTAATTATAATAGGGCATTTTCTCACAATTAAAATTACTTGCTATATCTAAATAAAATAATTCAAATGAAAGCTATTTCAAGTTAATATACGTTAGTAAATGTTATATTTTGACATCTTCACAACGTAAATACAACAGTGTAGGATACCTAAAACCATTTCAGATAACCACTTTTTAAATTTAAATACTAGACTAGATTTAACTTACAGATATTTAAAGCTTTTTTCTAAGGCAAAAATGTAATTTTAAAGTTGCAAAATGCCCTTTGTCCCATACACAATCAACATTTCAAACATCATTCGTTCTAGGATAAGTAATGTGATTTATATATACACTCACCGGCCACTTTATTAGGTACACCTGTCCAAC